TCATTTCTACAGTTATTTTTATTCTCTTATGGCTGTCTTTTTGCAGCTTTTTCTTCAGGGACATTTTTGCAAGGGTCATTAAACTTTGCACAAAAAATAATCACAAATAATATGTCTGAATACAATTTTGGAAAAATGTGTGATCACAAGCGACACTAAGATGCTAGCGGAACGAGTGCTAAACACAGACTGATGTAGCAAGCGCACAATCCGGTACTTCCCCTCTTGTCACTCGTTATGCGAGTCATATTTTTACAATTTGTTTTGCTTGTTATGCAAATTACTCATTATGAGAGGTGCTCGTTAAGTGAGGTTCCACTGTATATGACAATGTTTGTTTACATCATAATACAATTACTCTCTAGCACAATACACTCAAAATTATCATTTAAAATAAAAATTTAAGATAAAAGTTTCCATCAAAAGTAACAGAATATTTTGGTCATATAGCTTTAACATATACAACAAATCCACATATGTAGTGGCCTGCTACTATGAAGAAAGATTCCAAAACTTCCTGTAAATATCCTTTATCTTTCACTTTATCCATACCCATAGTACTCAAAATTATATGGTACATCACATAATTAATACTGCAGCTTTACAACAATTTTAGTGCTCCTCTATGTTTGAAGTGCTGTGGTTATGTGGTATTAATGGTGAGTAGTGGAAGACATTGACACTATCCCATCTGCTCCATGTAGTGTGCACTTCAAGTCTTAACAGTTTGAATGCACTCTGCCAAGTGACAGGTAATATAAAACTGATATTTTCTTGAAGAGTGTTATCTTCTGGGATATAATGCCATGTACTCTGTTGGAAGTCAACTGATGTTTCAGAGGTACATATCGCCTCTATCTTCAGGGTCAAAGAATAAGCCGAGCAAGATACCGGGGTGAAAGCAGATGGCAAGCAGGTCCTTTCCACTGCACAGTGTTACATCCTTGAGGATAGTACTCTTTATAACCACTGCTGTGAGAACTTCAAATCCTACATGTTGTTTTCTTTTTATGTCACCTTGTATGTTGTGTACTAAAACAGTGATAATGGAATAATGTCATTGTGATTGAAAAATGACATAAAAGATGTAGCATACTTGCAATTGGAAGGTTCTGTTAAGTATATTCTTCTAGTAAATATGGACTATTGCATACCATTCAGTTTAAACTGTAGTCAGAGATTTACATTTCTGAATATTTTATAACTATTTTAAAGTATTGTGTAAATTAAATAAAGGTAATGGGTTACCTTGCATTTTTAGGGCCAAAGTTTAAAAAAATATAGCAGTATTAATGTTATAGTTACTTGGTTCTCTTGGTGTTCATCTTGTGTATTTGTATGTGACAGTGTAAACCTTAACTTAAAAAGGAATTAATAATCAACAACATCCTTGGTCTTTTTGAAGATGTTACATTGTATAAAATTGAAGAAAGAAGGTTTCTTGAAAGGAAATGTCACTTTATATCTCATGTATATGTCAAGCACTTGCTATATAATTATGTTTAAAGAACTGACATGTACAAAGCAGTGGTGTCACTCCAGTTAATAAGCAAAGGGATGTGTTAAATTCCAACTGTATTTAAGCACTGTTTTAAAAATTTAGAATCAATATTGAGGTTATCTATTTACCTCAAAAGTGAGTGGGCTAGCACAGTCAGTATAGTGACTGGCTACTGCGACCAACGGATCGGAGTTCGATTCCCAGTAGGGTCAAGGATTTTCACTTCTCCACATCGTCCAAACTGTCTCTGGGGTTCACGCAACCTGCTGTTCAATGGGTACCAGGGGCTCTTTTCCCGGGGGTAAAACGACCAGGGCGTGAAGTTGACCACTCACCTCCAAATAGTGCCGAGGTCAAGAAAAGGCGGATCTATACATCCGCTCCCCCATATGCCTTCATGGCATTGTGCTTAATTAGTTAAGCACAGGGACAACTTTACCCTTTTTCCTTACCTTACCTTACCTCAAATGTTTGCAATTATCATTGTATTTTAGAAAATGTAATACAAGGAGATTTTTAGTCCATCACAGAAGATGTTTTTGATCCTTTTGACATATACAAATTTATTTTACCTTTGCAAGCTATGTGAGGCAGCCCCATGAGCCAAAGACAGAAAGTCACTGAAACCTACAGAAAACCACCCTCAAGATGGCTGAGTGAGTGAATGAATGACATTTCATTATCTAGTAAATTTCAGACACCATTTACAGAATCAGCTGTTCATTAAAAATGCAAAACTTCTTAAATAAATTCGTGGATTCATCTTTATTTTAGTGTAAACTAGTATTTGGACTTCAGTACGTGAAATTCGAAGCTAAAGGAGACTCCAGCTTTCCACCTGGTATTGTGGATATTCTTGTTTCACTTTCCTTTCTGATTCTGTTATTTCTTGCATGATGGCCTTGCCTTAGACATAATTTGCATTATGGTGTTGCATCCCAAGGTGTTCCAAGTTTTTCCAGAAAGCCTCAGTTCTGAGATGAGAAATAGTTTTGTTGAACTCATGTTTCCTCTGTCAATAGCCATGTTCTTCATTAACGGGAAGGCCATATCAGCAAGTTCCAAACTTATGGATTTCCCACAAACAAAACAAAGGCAGAGTGATAAGAGACTTCATGTTTGTGCAGATGGCTGAAGTAGAGCTGCTTCCTAGGAGGGTGTGTGAAAGTAATATGCTTCATTCAGTTTTCATCATAAAAAATTGCCATATTCGCTTGTCTGCTGCTCAGAATTGGAAGGCAAAATCCTGTGCTTGAAGAAAAATAAAACAGTGCAATAAATATTCAGAATTATAAGACCTGCCCACAGTAAACCTGTTAATTTCTCCAGAGATCTCACCGACAAACAGCCATTCTTCACAGTTGTTGCGGTGCAGGAGACTGATAATATATATTCATTGTGTGTGTGTCAGTAATATATCTATATAATAATTGTATATTATTCCAATTTTATTTTACCTCCAGGATATATATTTTTTTTACCTGATTCAGCAGTTTACCAAATGTTTAACAACAGGTCATATTGAACTGGTGTGAACCTGCTTGGTGATACCACCATTACAAAAATACGTTTATAGCCTGTACACTGTTTCAAATCAGAGTGAAAATTATGTATGTAATAAAACTAAATAAGGATGCTATCTTTGAATGTTGTCCTTAATTTTATGATTAAGAGTACAAAGTGTATAATTGTAAGTCATGCACACATAATGTAATATTAATGTTACAAAATACAGAATACGCATTGCTGCCTGTTGGAATTCTGCATTCTTTTGTGGCCCCACTTCTAAACATGTGCATGTCTAGGAGAGAACAAATATTTTGGTCGTAGATCTCGACAAGACTTGAAGCTAAGAACGACCTACCATTTATGGTGGTTGACATCCATTAATAGCAAGTGATAACCAGTGAGTGTCTTGGAATCAGACTGCCATCCCCAGACAGTTGCAGCCATGAATGAGATGCCATCATGGGTTAGGTGTGACAGTCACCAGCCGGTAAGGACGTGACATGGAAGCAGAGGAATATTTTCCATTAGAAGCCATTACTGAGCAAGACCTAGTGAATTATTGTTCAAGGCACTATGAAATTTTGTAACATAAAATTTTAAAAAGTGATGAAAATTTAAATGGCCCATGTAAGAGCCAGAATAGCACAGTCAGTATAGTGAATGGCTATGGGCTGAATGACTGAAGGGTTGGAATACAATTCCTGGTAGGGTCAAGAATTTTCTCTGTGTTGTCCATACTGGCTCTTGGGGCTTGAAGCTGACTACTCACATCCAACTAGTGCCAAGGTCAAGAAAACATGGACTATATATGTACTCCCCCTTACATATTCATGGCATAGTGCTTAATTAGTTCAGAAGAGGGACAGCTTTACTTATTACAACCTAAATCGTCCTTTTCTCCTAAGATTGTGGTCATCTGGAATGTGACACCATAGTTTGGTAGATGGGTACAAACTTATGGAGGAAACTGTTGCCTTCACCTTCAGATTGACTCTCAATTATCTAGAAGGTGAACGAAGCAGGTTGCCCAGAAACATTGGTGTATATATCTGTACCAAACTACACAGCGTTACATCACAAAAGACCATAATTCTAACAGCGCCGAGAGAATGTAAAAACCTTTACTTTTTTATTTCTTACTTGAAGCATTCCGCGTTTTCAAGGTATGTATATATTTTAAATACATTTCAAACTACATGGCCCAAAATACCAACGGACAATATCTTAATACCACCAAGAGAATGTAAACTCTCGATGCCCTTTTTCTTGCTCATTTCGCATTTTCAAGGCATGTATTTATGTCAATATTTGGACTGAAGAGAGATGAAGTGATAGGAGATTGAAGAGAACTGCACAATGAAGAGCTTCATAACTTGTACTCTTCATCAAGTATGATTAGGATGACCAGGGCAAAGCGGATGAATTTGGCTGGGCGTCTATCACGAATGGGGTGAAGCGGAATGGATATAGGATTTTGGTGGGAAAACCACAAGGAAGGAGGCCACAGCGAAGACAAAGACGTAGGTGAGTGGTAATAATGAAATGAATCTTAGAGAGATAGGATGGGGAGATATAAACTGGATTAATCTAGCTCAGGATATGGATCAATGAGGGGCTCTTGCGAAAACGGTAATGAACCTTCGGGGTTTCAGAAATTTCCGGGAAGTACATGAATGGCTGCGCAATGTCCGCTTCGCAGAAAACGTTCAGCTACTTGAACTACTTGAAGGCTGTTAGTTAGTTATGTAAATTTGTCACCAGGTAGCAGCCATAACCAATGTTGGAGCGTCATCTCATGGTGACCAATTTAACTAATGCAAAGGAGAGTGCGTAGCTACGCATCAGTGTCGCCAAAATAAAGGATATTGTTGAAAGTAATCGATATTACGATTGCAGTCGTAAAAATAGAGAAGTGTTGACAGCGTTAGACAGTGTCCATAATCCACGTACATGAATCAAATTATGGATATTACTTTATGTCCAATGATAATCTCATGCATCAATATTGATGTTCTCTCAAATTAAAATATTTGTGAGAGTACGTTGGGTGCCCTGTGTTTGGGTTACATGTTAGAAGTTATAGGTCTTTTGCCATGCAAGGCTTTGATGGAGTGAAGGATTGGAATGTTGTGTAAATCTAAGTAGTGCTTAGCTTGTTAGCGTATGCATTTTTATATCTAAAAGTTTCGCATTTGCAAGTGTAACTCTACCCGTTTAAAAATGGACAATGAAGATGCTCCTTCGTCCGTTAATTTTATACCATGTGTGAAATGGGTGAGAAAAGGAGTTGCGAAAGAAATTCCAGAGAAGGTTAGCAGCATGGATATAGATACTTTGAAGCCATATCAATTGAACAACATTTTTTTTTCGTAACACAAGTTTTACTTACAATTGATATAGATCGTAGCCTGATAAGCTAACGTTTGTTTATTGACAGTAGCACAAATACAGAGACTAGTTAGTATGCTTGCTAGCAAAACCAGGCCTTCGTTGTGTGATTCCAGTGTACGATGTTGGTAGGTAGTTTTGTAAAAAACAAATAGCATAAAGTGGTGAAGTTTTTGTCGCATTCCTGATTCAGTCTTACACAGTTACCGTCTCGCAAGTAAATTATTTGAGACATTCCGAGTAGATTGGAATGAGGTGCGTTGTGCATACAACAAAGTTGACATTTTTTAAATATTTTATTAAGCCATTATAAAAACAAAAATAGAAATTGCGCTGTTGAAATCGACGTGCGTAAAGAATTAAATTCTGATTAACCATTTATTTGTGATACTAGTAACTTTGTAGATGAACCGCTGCCTTCCATTTTTGAGATTAGGTCAAAGGTCATGCCTTCTTAAGAACGAGACTTTTAATCTGGCATTTGGTTTTGATATTATTGACCAACATAGGATTTGAAATTAGAATGTATATGCTTTTGTTACTATCACAGAATCCAGGCACTGTATTTCCTCTTCATATTTTTTTTTGTAGTGATATTGTGGATTATGAAGTAATGCCAGTTTTGAGATAATTATAGTGATTAAATTATTTTTATATAGTGTAAGTTAATTTGACTGCCAAAAATGCATTTAAATAATTTTATTTCTACTCGGTCGTCACTGCTTGAACATGACCAGCAGGGCGGAGTTTTGTAAAATAATGTGTTATGAAATATTCAGAGCTACTGTTGTATAAGTTTTGTGGAATATCTGAATTTCAGTAATTTTTATCTCCAGTAGGGTAGGTAATACAAAGCTGAAATTTACTGTAGAGCCAGGTCTTTAGTAAGATAATTTGTTAAAAAAATCTATTATAGTAGCGCCCCCTCACTGAATTTACTATCCTCAGAATACAGATTTTGTAAAACATGGCAGCATTCGCCTATTGTACATAGTACTATAGCAAATCTGCCTGGTATTGCTTGAATGTAATGTATGCATATAAGAAAAAAATTTAAATAAATCTAGCAAAGAAGAAAGGGGTGTGCGTTCATGGCCTAATTACTATCCTAGCATTTGTCTGGAGAGAGAGAGAGAGAGAGAAGAAAAGTATGTCAGGTAGTTGGCATCTGTGCCGCCTTAATTGGTAGAAGGGTTTGAAAATACCCATTATTACTCTGTAAAAAACATAATATTAAAGTGGGCATGTTACTGCAACGCACGTATTGTGCGAATTTTTGTGGTAGAAGGATAAAGATTAAGTGAAAGAACTAAAATGATGATACTGATACTAAGCTGATGTCACATAATATAATGGCAGTAACAGCAACAGTTAGTTTATTCAGAAAATTTATTTAAACCATATCCTGTAAATATTTGGCCAGTTATGGGAACACTTTTATTTTTAACATATTATAGTTTTTATTGTGGACATTAGTCACAATACTTTCATGTTTAATTTGCCAGATGTTTTCCTTTAAAGGTGACTGAATTGTTCTCAATGGACCATGTGGATGTTGGAATTTTAGTACTTTAAAAGTGCTATTGAATGAAGACATACTGATTACAGGACACTTCATGTGTGGTTCAAGCTCTCTAGTATTGTAACACCTTCCCTGCCTCAACAAATCAGTGAAGGGGCACTAATACAGCACCAAAATGTTTTTCACAAAGCAACATGTCAAGGACCTAACTCCACAGCAGATATCAGCTTTGTTCCATCTACCCCCTTGGAGGTGGGAGGAGAGAGAAAAAAAGAACAATCCTGAAATTTTAAAATTCCACAGAAATTAGACAACACTGGGTTTAATTATTTGATTACTCACATCATTCGGTACTGTCATACTGATTTTTACACCTCTTAAGATTAATGTTGCAGTCCACATTTATGCAGTACTTACAAACGAAGAAGTTTATGAAATACTGTGAACCTGTTTCCATCTCATGGTGTCGTTAAACATTTGACAGCCTCTCACAGTTGTAGAAAAAAATCCTAGAGCATTTTATTCTGGATTTCGACATAAGACACTACAAGGTGGTTCAAATATGACCATGGCTGATTTTTTTAACCATAATTGCCAAATACTTCCTTGCACATGTCAGTCTTCAACATACTCCCCTGCCAAGTCAACACATTTTTTCCAACGTTCTGGAAGCATCCTGATGCCCTTTTCAAAGAAAGGCTTGTGGTTGGCAGCGTATCCACTCCCGAACAGTCTGGATGATGGCGACGTCCACAAACCGCATGCCTTGCAAGTCTGATTTGAGCCTTCTGAACAGGCAGAAATCACTTGGGGCCAAATCGGGACTGTACGGCAGACGTGTCAGAAGGTTCCATTTCAATTTCCAGACGGTTTCCATTGTTGTTTTGGCTGTGTGGGTGCGTGCATTGTCTTGAAGGAAGGCTACCCACTATCCACCTGTCTTCTGCTTGGATTGGACCTTTCCCTTCACATCTGTTGCCAGGAGGTCTGAGTAATAAGCTGCATTGACTATTCTGGCATCTGTCAGAAAGTCTACATGGATAACCCCCTGCCAGTCCCAGAAGAATGTTGCCATCACTTTTTCTGCCGAATGGTTCCTCCGCGCTCTCTTGGGTTTGGGAGAACTGGTATGCCTCCACTTGCGTGATGACTGCTGGGACTCGGGAATGAAGTAGTGCACTCACCTTTCATCGGTGGTCACTATAGACTTAAAAAATGCATCACCTTCTTCTTCAAAGTGCTGTAGGAGACTACTGGCAGCTTGCATGCACACCATTTTGTTCATGTCTGTCAAAGTGTGTGGTCCCCACCATGCATTCACCTTGCAATAGTGCAGGTGGTATTTCACGATGTCTTCTACACTACCAACACTGATGGACAGCATCGCTCCAAGTTCCTTGATAGTGACGTGCCTATTCTCATGAATAAGCGCGTCTGCACGACCAGTGTTTGGCTCGGTGACAGATGTTTGCAGCCAACGATCATGCAGTTCATTCTCCATGCGTTCTCTGCCCTCTCTGAAGCACTTACACCACTCAAACACATGGGTCTGTGAGAGACACTCTTCCCCACACTGTTGTTGGAGTCTGTGATGAATTTCAGTGGATGGGACGTTTTCTCCAATGAGGAATTTGATCACAATGCATTGTTCCATGCTCCATGGTACCTTCTGTTTGCTCATCACTCTAGCAACTCCCAGACAGGATTGAACAGGTTCTAACCCAAACAGGAGGGAGGGTGGAGGTTGTGGCTTCACTCTCACAAGGTCGCACAGCTGCTGCGCAGTGCAGCTTGTTTACACACAAATCAATCCCTATCATATTTGAACCACCTTGTGCATAGAAATTAGAAAGTAATGTTATGCGTGATGATGATATTCAAGCATCCAGTTAGTTGATTTTCTTTATTGGGATAGGAAGGAAAGATTTTAAGTGTCTCCAATACTTTGCTGGTCTGTTTTAGTCTTTCATGTGTTTTATACATTCAAGTTAATGTACATATGCTAGCTGTACAAATCATAGTGGCAGTATTATTATGTACTTTTTGTTGAGACCCATTTATTAAAGATGTACAGTGTTATCATCTTGTAGCATCCTGAAAGTTGCTGAGTCACACAGCAGAAGGATCTGCTCTTCACATCAACTTGGGCCACAGATTCAGACTGCTAGTGTAAATGACAAATAAAGAGCCCCTGTTACAAATTAAAGTTCCCTGGATTGCAGCAGTTGCTGGAAATGCTGTCTGCTATTCTTTGCACCTTTGTGAAAAGTTTTCATGTCATTTATTATTTTTATTTATTTATTTTTTTAATAATAACCGTGTGTCTGCAAATGTGTTCATGATTGCAAGAGTAGCATTTCTCTTTGAACTGTGTTCTGCAATTTATGCTGGAAATATCTCATTTTTTAATACTTCTTCTGATGTAGATGTCACACATTACATTTTGGCCCAAGAAATAACAGGACTGCTATTCTGCCAAGGTTGAATGTGAGCTGTGAGATTTGTTATGCTGTAAAGAAATCCCTCAAAAAATAATGCAAGCTCGAACCCAGACAGCTTTAGACTTGTTCTTTACAAACCACATCAGGAATCAGAAATTCAGGCAGGTCCATGTGGTTCTCAGGACACACACCACAAAATTATCATATGGTATACTTATGAAGGTAGAATCAATTGATAACTTAAGATTGAGGTTATTCATGTAAAAGATGTTATTGAAATGAATTATGATCATTAGTTCAGAATGGGTATAGGAGTTGTATTAATGTGTTGTTAAGAACCATTTCCATGTTAGACAAGGCATGGAGAACATGCTACCTCCTCCGGTTACAGACTGACCCATGGTACCCTTGGATGTTCTAGTCCTTATTAGCTCCTCTTTATGTTATTTCGTGTGGGCAGAAATTACCCACTTAAAAGGGAATCACTTTAAGTGTTGTTCTTCCAGTCCCAATTAGTCACAGCTGAAGAGGACCTCTGTACTTTTAGAGTGCAAATTGTATTGATACAGTGCGCAAGCTGTTTTGTGTGTCTGGTAAGGGTCACAGCATCATTTTCCCCCAAACAAATAAGAATTTCCACTACTGTTTTTAAGTGATCTGGTGTCCTTAATCTTTTCTGATAAGTTCTTAATATCCAGGAGGCCACTATAATTATTGTAGTGTGTTTTACTTTTTGGTAGTGGTTTTATGTTTTTTACTGATTCTGGTTAGCTTTTTCTAATGGACCCAACAGAGTGGGTGTCTGCCACACTGCCATTTGAGGTGGAAACAGCCAGTTTCCAAAACATTGTGTTCTTTAGAATACTGCATGATGGACAGATGCCACTGTATGGGGTGAGGTGGGTGAGACTTGGATTTCCCAGTGCCATTGTCCTGCTTCTGTCACTGAGCCTTTACTTAGCTACCCCCAGAACACAGGTTCATGCTAGTGAACAGTGGACATGAAAGAGTGCAGTCAAGCAGGAAGTACAGTAAGGGGGGAGGGGATAACTAATTCATACAGTACTGGGGACAAAACTAAAATATTAAGAACTTCTTTCCCCATTAAGTCTTCTGTTTTTGCAGCAGATGGTTTATGTTTACTTCAGGTGCATTTATACTGATGTTAATGCTAAATTCATAAGGAAAAAAATTTTAACTATGGACAGTTTTCTGTTTAGTAAAGGGACCATTATAGACAGTTTTCACTGTACGTTCCTTACACATATGTATTGTCACATGTGGGATGGTACGTGTGACGAAATGAGTGGTTCTAGTTCAGATAATTGGATTTATTAGCACATGGGTTGCACGCACACTCTCTTAATTGCACTTAAATACATGCAGTACAGCCCAATCACTGATTTACACACTTTCCAGTTCACCATTGAGCATGCACTGGAGTGACTGGATTATTTCCTTTGAGCATTTAACATTTTAAAACCCACTGGTTTCACATACATTAATATAACAAGAACTCTGCATGTTACTCGTAGATTGTATGAATGTGTTTTATGTGACACTCACAGTATATAGTGATTATTTCCTTAAACTGCATTACCTAGTTGGTCTTCCTAGTGGAGACAGTGTGTTTCCTGTGAGACAGGAACTGAATATTTGTATTGTTCAGAGGAATTTCAGCCTGTAAAAAAATGGGATGAAAGAAGTTACCAGAGTGACACAACAAAATTATGTTAGTTGTATCATCTAACAGGCAAAAAACCAGGAGAAGGTATTTGGACCCAGCATCAGTGCCTCGTGGCAATTGTACTGACTGTTGTAGCTAGTCTGTAGACATTTCGCACTGCCCCTCCAGCCTTCTGAGTGTTAAAGAATATGTAATAAGAGCATTAGGATTATTTTATAAAACTCCATTGCTGAGAATACAGAAGTATTTTCATTCTTCTTATAGGTTCAGTTAACAGAAGAGGAACTGCAAGAAATACTTAATGAAACTAGAGCTGAAGTCAGGTAAGACGATTTTTATCACATAAATGCAAAACATTTGCAACAAAAGTATAAAAATTCAAAGTTGAGATATTTACATCGTGAGATATTTCAGGCATACTGGTTTAAACATCTTTGGGGTTTGTATCAAAACATGTATGATTAACAGAAGTTATTTTCTCCTAGCATAGCTTGGAACACGCTACTTGCACCTAATTGGTGCTGTTTTAATGTTTTGAAAACTTTGACCTTTCCTCATAAATCTAAATTGCCCCCACTTACTAATAAGACCCGCCTACCTTTGATTGTGTTGGAAACTTGCTTTGAGCTTGTTCATGTGTTATGACCACTTCTGGTTTATAAAAGCCTTTGACTATAGTGTTGAATGGTAGGATGACAGATGAATTGTGAATTGAAAAGGATTTTAGAAGGAAGCAGTCTTAGCCTACTTGAGGTACTATGCCAGAATTTGCCCAAGGGGACCGGGGAAAACCATGAAAATCATCAGTCAGGTTTGCCATTTTCTTGGCTGAGATTTGAAATGGCACCTCTAAAATATGAGCCAAATTGTTACCACTATGTCAGCCAGCTCTGTTATAAGTTCTCCCTCAACACCTCTCTAACATGAAACATTGGTGTGTGAAAGTAATATTGAAATTTATGTAATGCAGTAATTTAAAGTTTCTTTAGCTTTTCATTTTATTTGAAAACGTCTTTTAAAGATGGACCTGCCTGTTGTGAAAGCAAGATTTGGGGACAGTATAATATTCCTCCTTTCAATGCAAAGATTTTTATTTTTTCAGTTGCTGAAAAGTTGGTTTTGAAATTTGGATGAGATCATTGCTGGTAACAAATTGCTATATACAGTACAGCCAGAACCCTTATTAAATTTGATATATGTTAGTTTCTGTACATTTTGTATGCATTAAAATTGTTATTTTTTGCTGTTCTGCTTTATTGGAAAGTGATGATGTAAATACTTGAGTACTTTCTTGCTTAAGCCTGAATATAACAATTTGTTTAGCCTTTCAGGATGAAGTGCCATTCAGCAGTGTGTGGTGGGAGGTTATGGTCTCATTTAGTTTCTAATTTGTGCCCTTTTGTTTGTAATTTTGGAAATATAGTACTTTTTGCTTTGCTTAGCAAACTGCATGTTCCCACTTAAGTGGATAGCACTTGACATCATCCTTGGGAGCTCCCTGGCTCAAATTTTGATTCAAAGACTGGGTGTTTTTTCAAGGTTGTCCTCAGTGCCTTCTTGTACATGTCAGGATTATATGTCAAATTAAGCCACAGCGGCTTGTTTCCAGGCCCTTTCCAAATCGTTCACTAATCCTGTCATTTGATGCGTTATAATGGGAGTTCTTGAAAGCATCACTAAATAAACAATAAACAAATAAATTGATATGGGCTACAGAAGAAAATTTACTCTCTCATTTTGTAAATGTCATCAGTACTGTTACAGTTTTAAATTCATTTTCTTCCATTTGTATAGTATGCTTTGAATTAAAATGATTGATAAATCTTGTGATTGCCTTGTTTTGAACAAATACTAGGTTGTACATATGCTCATAGAAAACGGCTAAGGGGTCATAATGATGACTGGGTCCTGGAGATTCTTGATCAGATACCCTATGCATTCTCAGTAGCAATACAGATACCTGCTGTGGTCTAGGGGCAGCGTCCCTGGCTACAGATCCAGAGGTCTGGGTTAGATTCCCGATGCTATCAGATTTTTTCTGAGAAGTAGTGGGTCTGGAATGGGGTCCACTCAACTGCATGAGGATAACTGAGGAGCTATTTCAAGGAAATGGCAGCTCCAGTCTAGAAATCCGAAATTAATGGCTGTGTTGATTCATTGTGCTGACCATGCGACACCCTCTATCCATGAAAGTTGGCACTAAACTTCGCCAACAAGCGGCAGTCGCTTTGTCGGTATAGTTTGCTTGCAGGCTAAAATCATGGAGTATCTTACCTTCATTTAGCACTGTGTTTAATGTGTGGGCTTCACCTCATTGCTTCATTCATGCCATTATGGCATGGTACCTTTACCATATAAAATTTGGGTAATGAGTGTGTATCAAGAGCTGGCAACACCATTGAATATCATGTCTTCTTATTACATCATTTTATATTATTTTTGTTTGGCTTTTTTAACAAATTTTCTAGGTATCAACCTCATTTTGTGATATTAGTTGTTATGTGGATACATTCATATATAGTCAGTATTAACTGGATCAAAGTGTTACTGAGATATTCTGGCCTGCACTGTTCATATTGGAGTATACTTTTATCTCAGTCTTCTTTTTTATGTGTGCTAAGGAAATTGATGTAGATGTTCCTATAAAGAACACGACGTTTTTAACGTAAATGCAGCCTCCGTCTGCATTGCCCTCTAAAACTTTTTTGAAGTAGTCGACTGATTTTCACAAAATTGTGCGAACACTATGCAAATGGAGACTATCCAAATTTTGTTGGTTCTTAATTCCCAATGGTCAGTAATAAAACATGGTCAATGCAGCAAATTGTGAGGTAGAAGTGACACAGGTGCAACTTTATTTAGAGTCATGAAATGATGTGTGGTAAATTGTCTCCAAAAAAAATACCTTTTTTTTCTCTTTTCTTCTTTTGTTATGTAAAATATCAACAAGGCAGCCATGAAAATATTTTGTTACCTCTCAGTTTAATGACAGTAACTAATCAATTGCTGAAACTTGGGAAGAGAAATTTAGTAGTTTGAAGATAGAGCATAAGTGTGAACATTAGGTGTGAAAGACTTAGAAATTTAACAAGCACAGACATAGTGACTACACAAGCCTCTGAACTTATATCACACTAATTTAATGTAGACAGGCTCCATATTTAAATAATAAGTTCTTCCCAAAAAGAAAATTAAATTTGTATCTGTAGAACTAGAAGTGTATGTACGTAGAAGCATTCTGCTGGGAACTCCTTATTATATTAGTTTTAACCCAGCATGGTGGCTTATGCAGTAAAGCAAGTGTCATGTAACTTTGAACAAGGCCAAGAGTAACCTTGAATGCGCAGAAGAAAAATTTCAGACAAGGGGGTGGATTCGAGGGTGTGAGAAGTGAAAGACCCCCTTGTCTGAAATTTTTCTTCTGCGCATTCAAGGTTACTCTTGGCCTCGTTCGAAGTTACGTGACACTTGCTTTAATACCTCTGACTTACATTTTGAGGGATGGTCAGTTGAGATCTTGGCCAGGACGCTGGCTGTTCTTCATGATTTTTCTGCAGTCCTTTAGGCAGCTGAAACTACCTCACATTAGGCTGTGACCTGTTACTTTCACTAAATCATATCATCATTAAGCACTGTATAGTCCAAGATACTGACTGCTGTTAAATAAACCATGCATAAAATAAATGCACTATGAAATGTATGGCTTATAGAGCAGCCATGTGTATGGGTACATGCCAGTGACTGCAGCAGTATTAATGACACTGTATGAATTCTGTATCACAGACTTCTATATATTTTCTTAAGCAGGCCTCAACAGAGCACATACTGTATGGTAGCACTGGATCTCAAAGGGATGAACTCCTAAAAATCGGTATCAGGGAACTTCTTGAGGTGAAGGAACGAGTGTTATTCATACCAATTGATTCTGAATTTTTCATATGATAGTAGATTTTTTTTTATAAAAAGATTCAATTTAATTAGTGTGAAATGAAAATTAGGTGTTGTCATTGTCAGGAATTTGCATTTCATTTTTATGATGACCTGTGAATCTCTATAGTTAATATCTAGAAATATTTTTAGCCTTCTTTCCTTAGACACAGACTTTAGTCCTACAATTCTTGTACTCTTAGTATCATATTTAGATAAGATCACATATTAATAAAACGCAGCTTGGCCCATGGATGGGCATGCTGGACTCATACAGTTGAATCATAGTCAAATGAGAATTTTTTATTGCTTGCAGTTTTAAATATGTTACAGATTATTGTTATTCCTTTATGGAAAGTGCTTATTACTTAACCGCTTGGAACCTAATGTCAAGTATAGTCCATTGTAAACAGTGAAGTGCTGCAGTACTTAGCATCGAGGCAGACTTGTCTTTGATTTCAGATCAGAACTGATGGTGTAGAACACCTTGCATAGATGGCAGTGCCAGTTAAAGCCTGGGTGGGTTTAGGAACTCTGAACAGAGTGCATGTTTACTGTAAAAGGATGAGGAGCCTAATGCTCCAGTACCAATTGATTACAATCCCTGAGAATCGTGGCATCTGTCTTACATGTAGGCCAATGTGGTGGTATTTCTTTTTTATTGCCAGTGGGGTGGGACTAAGTCCCTTGTACTGCGGCCACTTCTGGCCTATTGTACCATCCCCAGATGATAGGTGAGAGTGATTGTGGAGCAACTGGTGGAATGAAGATTGGCAGGGGAAACCGAAGTACTCAGAGAAAACCTGCCTCAGCGCCACTTTGTCCACCACAAATCCCACTTCACCAGACCCGGGATCGAACCCGGGCCGCCGTGGTGGGAAGCCAGCAACTAACCGTTTGAGCTATGGCGCAGTCCATTGTGGTGGGTAAGTAGTTCTTAGATTTAGCAGTTGAGGCGCACGTTGGCGGCATGGGCAAACTAAGCAGGTGGGCAAGGTTTAGCTGAGGAACAAATACAAAACATTGGAAAGTCTTTAATGTAGCAAGTAGGGACATGAAGACTGACATTTTCCAGCAGGGAAGGGCAGGATTTAAGGCCTCAAGAAACCTAAATGGTAAAGGTATATCAAGATGGTATCTTCATTTATGTACAGAATGTTGACTTAAATTCTGTAAAGCATAAGTATAACTGTAAGGGAGATGTGAGTTTTAAACTAACGGGACATGTTCTAACTTTGACCTGACTAAGATAAAGTATAATGCATATAAACAGTCCAGAAATGAGAATCTGAATGTTATGGAGTGAATAAGGCCCAATAGCTTGCTTGCTTGAATGTGGGCAGTTCCCACAAAGTAAAAGACATCAAAATGTCATCTTGAATAGTGTTTCCTGAAG